TGGATGGATGGATAATTCTCTGCCATTCCTGGGAAAGCCTCTAGATGTCCACAGAACCCAGCACATGGGAAGGACTCAGGCACAGCGAGAGCTCCAGAGTGCCAGGATGTCCATCCTCACCCCAAACAACAAGGAATCACAGAATTCCAGACTGGTTTTGGGTGGAAATGATCCTAAAGATCATCTTGTACATGGCAGGCCCACCTTCCTGAGACCAGACGGCTCCAAGTCCCACTTCTCTTCCCCAGGACTGAAACGCCAAGCTCGTGCTTGGTGCCTCAGAACAGCTCTGGCTGCTGAAAAGGAGGAAAAGATTCCATATTCCTCTGCTGTCTGAGGGGCTCTGAGGGCTCTACCAGGAGCTGGGGGAAGTCCCTCTCTCCCAGCTCGAGTGGAGCTGATGTCACTGCCTCTTCCTGCCAGAGCAGATGACAAACACGGGACTTTCCAGACCTAAGATCTGAATTCCTCCTTGTTTATGGATGGCTGAGCTCTTCTGAAGCCTTATCTCCCCTCTCCCTGCTCCAAAAACACCGTCTGGGCAGAAAACAGGGGAAGAAATTCCACCTTCATGAAGAACTGCCAGGCASGGGGAGCTTCCACATCCCAATCCCCAGCCGGAGTTGGAAAAGGGGRACTTCAGGGGGAAAATTCTCCTGTGCAAGTCATGAGAGGACTTGTCCTGGCTCAGGGAAGGGGAATGGGGGATCCTGAGCCCTGTCCCCAGAGAATCTCAAACATGGGGGTTAAAAGTCTCTGCTGGGGACAAAACAGCAAACAAAGAGAGTTTTTGGGGATCCTCAGTGGGGGTCTGCCCTGGGAGGTGTCCAGGCAGTTCCTAGATGATCTCTGAGAAGTATCAAAATTCTGTTCCTGGCGATCCTCCATAGCTGAGCATTCTTTGCCTCCAGCCAGGCACTAGAGTCCTTCCCTTCCACCCCCAAACCACTGCTGGGATTTAGGAAGTGACCCGGGCCTGCTCTGGAGCCTCCACTCTTGAAAATCCTGGCTGTGGGACCTTCCAGGACCCACCCCCATCCCATAGTCCCTTGTTTTCCAGCTGGGCTCTATTCCCAAATGTTCCCTGCACACAAACAACCAGAGGAAATGCCTTTTCCGCCCCGCTCCCAACCACATACTCGGGACACTTTGTCCCCATGCTCAGACCATTGTGGATCCCTTCCCGGCCCTCTCTCCCCCCTCCCAGCATGGAATATGCTGGAAAGGACCATATAAGGTGAGAAACACAGAGCACACAGCCTGTAGAAGCTGTGGAGCTGCYGGCACCCTCTGGCTTCCCAGTGATCCATGCTGGATACTGCTTGTCCGACAGCAGGGACAAAGGCCAGGCTGTCACAGGAGCAACGTGGCTTCTCCTGGCAACCAATCCTGATAACCTGGAGCAGAAAAACATGGATCTTATCAGCACCAGGAGCTGTGCTGGCAAAAACAAGTCTGTGCCATGCCCAATTCCTTCCCCGGGACCCACCCAGAGCCCAGTGAGTCACCTCAGGGCCTGGTTTCTCGCTCCGTGGCTTTGCAAGTGGGTTATTCCGGAGGTAAGCATTAGTCACACTGTCCTGGCCATCCCTCGCCCCTGGCCAGGAATTCTTGGAGAAGCAATGGACCCAGCCACTCTCCCCATCCATCCACCTTCAGCAGTGGAAATGAGGGTAGGGGATTCTGTGAGCAGCATTATCCTACGGGAGAGCAGCTGGGAGGGGGATGAATGCCTTAAATAACAGTTTAGTGGGATCAGGAGGTTGTCCTTGCCCAGAACTCTTGGTGGTTTCTCTCCTGATTTCCTTGATTTTGAAGATTTGACACTAGGAAAGTTTGCTTTTTTCAAGCGAAAATCTCCCAGTGTTCCTGATCCTCCAGATCCATTCAGGAGTGCTGCTGCTGTGAGAATGCTTCCTGGAGCAAGTCTGACTCCGAGGGAATTCCGGCAGCAGGGAATGGAGAGGGATTGCCATCGGATAGAGGTTAGGGGGGGAAAGGGCAGCACTGATTGACAGGAATTTAGAGAGGATTCAGGTTGTAGAACATGCCTTGGAGCATATCCTTGACAAGTTCCTTGGCATGGGGCTCCAAGGCCCTTTGGCTTTGCTGGAATGTGTCTAAGCAGCCCTAGGCTGGGGATGGTTTCCTCGGAAAGACACACACCGATGGGAACTGGAGAGGGAGAGCATAAACACGGCTCTGACGGAAATGCCAGCACATATCTAAGGGCTCAAATATCCCAGGGCAGAGATGGCTGGAAAAAACTCCCCAACTTTCACCAAATTAGAGCAAGTCCCAAATTCTCCATTAATCCATCATCTTTTTCCTAATGGGAGACAATGGAGACCAGAGGAAAAAAAGGTGCAATTCCTCCATTCTGCACTGAACCAAGGAATTCCCTCTCAAGGTGGAATTCTGTCCTGTGGTTTGGCAGGAGAACAGTTTATGCCCCACGCTTTATCCTGCACTTTATCGGTTTATATGATCAGGTGTGAATTAACTCCAGGGGAAAGAAGCAGTGGAAGGGCAGGAAAAGTGCCAGGAACACTCAGACAAACAACCTCTGAAGGACAACTCCCAACAAAAACACCTCCCTGTTCCTTTTTGGGGTGGGGACCACTGGGAGCCCCCCATTTCCATTCCTTCAGTGCCATGTGGCTCCATGAGCATTGTTCTCCTGTTTCCTCTGCTCCCAACATTTTCCTGAGTTGGGAAAGCCTGAAGGGCTGGGAAAAGAAGAGGAAAGTGACAGTGCCTGTTCTGGAGTAATGCTGATCCAAGGAGTGAAATCTGAGGATATCTTGAAAGCCAAAGTCTCTGGGCAGGGTTGAGGGGAAGGCAAAATGCTGTCCCACTCCCCACATCCCAGCTGGAAGACAGGGTCACGGTTTACGGAAGGGACGGGAGTGCTTGCTGCACCTTGGATCAATGTTTGGGAGGGATATTCTGGGGAAAAAGGAGTGGGCAGAGTCCCCAAAACAGAATGGGAAGCAGTAGAGATGGTGGAAACACACCCACAAACACCGCCCCTCAGGGCCCGGCCCGGGCGCTCCCAGTTCGYCCCGTCCCAAACTGGGGCCCGCACCCCCATCCACCCTTTGCCTGAGAACATGACATCCTGTTCCGCGCTCGCCATTGGCCACAGCCGCCTCCCGTCCTCGCTTCYCATTGGTCTTCTGAGCTGTCACTCAGCCTCGGTCCGTCYCCGCCCCATTGAACACGCGCGGCTTTCCTTCACACGCTGTCCACGCTCCGCAGCCGCCGCTCTGATTGGTCGGCGCGGCTGTAAACAAGGCGGTGGCGGCCAATAGGCGCGCTGATCACGCGAGCAGCACGCCTGGCCACGCGCCCTCGGCGTGGCGCTCCCGGCAGCAACAGGCGCGGGCGGGGGTGGGCGGGGTTCCCGAGCCTATAAAAGGCAGCGGCGCCAGCAGCGCTCGCAGATCGCTGAGGTTGCAGGGTTTGGTGGTGTCGAGCGGGCTGCGACGAGTGCCTAGCGCCTCAAAASAAAGCGTTCGGTCGCATTTTTGCTCTGGATTCGCCTGGTTCGGGCGGTTTTTGTTGCTCCAAGGGTGTAAAGCCCCGCAGCCGTTGCTCTGTGCGTTCCCGTGGKGCCCCAGCCATGGTAATGTTCAAGAAGGTGAAGAGCTTCATGGTGGCCTTCAGCGAGCCCGACAAAGTCTACTGCAGCGGGGACAAGGTGGCTGGGCGTGTGCTGGTGGAGGTGGCTGAGGTGACCCGTGTCAGTGCCGTCAAGGTGTTGGCATGTGGTGTGGCCAGGGTGACCTGGGCCAAGGGTCCGGCGCAGTGCCGGCAGGAGATGGAGTACCTGCGCTTCGAGGACGTGCTGGCRCTTGAGGAGCAGCCCACAGGTGAGTCCACGGGGCTGGAGGGAGGGCAAGGGTTGCTTTAAACACTAGTTCATAATCCCAACCTAGCTCTGACCTAGGGCTTTGCCACATAGGGGGTGTGGTGGGTCCCAGCGGAGACCCTTGATCCTCAGCACGCAGTTGATGTTGTATCTGGAGTCTGGAAAGATGACCAGATCCAGCAAAACATACGAACAGTGGGAGGTTTGGCCAAATCAAGTCGAAGTTTTGGAGCTAAGGGGCAAAATCAGAGCCTGGGGTGCTCCTGTGATGTGTTTTGACACCACAGGGGTTAGTAGCATTGGTGGTACAGTCAGGGAGGGGCACAGAATCACACCCTGGGGCTGGATTGGGGAGATAAGGGGGACCTGGAGGTGGGTGGAGCCAATGGGACATTGTGTTCTGCCCCAGGGGCTTGAGGTGAAGAGAGCAGCATGGAGAGAGCATGGGGTTTCTATGTGGGTTCCGGTGTTACCCAATGCCCCCAGAACTGAGGATCACCCTGGAGTYCCATCTAATGTTTTCCTCCCGTTCTGTCCCGCAGATGAGGATGGCTCCGTCATCCTGAGACCTGGGAACAAGTATGAGTACAAATTCGGCTTCGAGCTGCCCCAAGGGTGAGTATGAGGCAGCAGTGGGTGGAATTAAATTGGAAAATCCATGTTTTGGCTCTGGCGTGACCTCCTGCATGTCTGTAGGCCACTGGGCACCACGTTCAAGGGGAAGTATGGCTCTGTGGATTACTGGGTGAAGGCGTCTCTGGAGCGTCCAGCCTGCCCCATACAGCAGGTCAAGAAACGCTTCGAGGTGATGGATCCTGTGGATGTGAACACCCCAGAATTGCTGGTGAGTCCTAAGTGCTGCAAAGGCTTGGGAGAAAAGCCCTTGGGGAGGGTCAGCCCAACTCTGTGGCATCCAGGTGTCTTTAATCAGCTCTGGGCTGAGTGGGATTAAGAGTGGGATTAAGGAGTTCTGGATGATTCCAGAAATTGACCCTGGGTGGGGTGCGTTGGGTYCTGTACTCCAGGGGAGTTGGAGGGTTGGTTGCAAAAAGGGCAGGAAGGGAGGAGGGTGGGAAGGATGGGGTGGGGCTTGCATGTGACCATTCCTTCTCTCTGCAGTCTCCAGTTGCAGCCAAGAAGGAGAAGAAAGTGTCGTGTATGTTCATCCCAGATGGACGCGTGTCTGTCAGCGCCCAAATTGATAGGAAGGGCTTCTGTGAAGGTGAGGATTGTTGGGAAGAGGGAACTGGTCTGGTAGGGGGGAATCAATAAGGAAACACCTGACATCTCGAACGATCCTTCCCTTGGCAGGTGACGAGATCTGTATCAACGCAGACTTTGAAAACACCTGCTCACGCATCGTGGTGCCCAAGGCAGCCATTGTGGCCAAGCACACATACCTGGCCAATGGTCAGACCAAGGTCTTCTCCCAGAAACTGTCCTGCGTTCGTGGCAATCACATCATCTCYGGGACCTCTGAGTCCTGGCGTGGCAAAACCATCCGTGTGCGGAAGCTCAAACCCTCTATCCTGGGCTGCAACATCCTGCGTGTGGAGTATTTCCTGCAGGTGAGCAGGGGTTCCCCTCATCTTCCTTATCCTCCTCCACATCTTCCTCCTTACCATGGGGATGTTCATCCTGTCGCAACACCCCTAAATCCTGGCTCTCCTCCTGCAGATATACGTCAGTGTCCCGGGCTCCAAGAAAATCATCCTGGAGCTGCCGCTGGTTATTGGGAGCCGCTCAGGCATCGGGAGCCGCAGCTCCAGCATGGCCAGTCAGACAAGTTCGGAGATGAGCTGGGTGGACCTGAATCTCCCGGATGCTCCAGAGGGTGAGTAGAGTGGGATGAGGTGGGATCACAGTGTGGGGACCTCTTCAGGGGCTTGCGGGCCACGCACAAATGAGCTCACTAATCCCTCCGTGCATCCCCACAGCTCCCCCGTGCTACCTGGACATTGTTCCTGAGGATCACCGGCTGGAAAGCCCCACCACGCCACTCCTGGATGATCCGGATGGATTTGACAGCCCCATCTTCATGTACGCGCCCGAGTTCAAGTTCATGCCGCCCCCCACCTACACGGAGGTGAGCTCAGCACCGGCACGGGATGGGCCAGGTGGATCTGGGGTCACCTGCCTGGRTCCCTCACCTGCTTCCTGCTCCGTCGCCCAGGTGGATCCCTGCGTTGCCAACAACAATGTCCAGTGAGCGCTGCACTTGGTGGGTTGCTCCTGCTTTTCTGGACTCAGCTCCATGTGCCACACACCTGCAACATGTCTGGCCCCACACACCTGGAGTCGAAGTGCTCCCGAGGAACTGCCACATTCCTGAGGAACTGCTGCATTCTCGAGGAACCACTGTTCCAGAGCCATCCCGGGCACCAGAATCTTGTGGAAAACCCGGCAAAGAGCCCTCACAGACTGGGGGGAGGCAAGATGGATCCAGCTGGAAAAGGGCTGGAAAACCTCAGCTGTCAYGGCTGTTGTGACATGCTGTGTGTTCTTGCCTTGTCATGACGTGGTGACAGGCAGGAAACGCTGGTTTTAACTAAGTCCATCCTAATTCCGTAACTCTGGATGCTGCTCTGGTTGCCCTGCGCTCCTGCTGAGGGACGGGGGCACTGACACCATGAATCCGTCCTGTCGTGATACAAGCCTATTACTGCGACTGATGTCTTTTGTACTCTTCGATTTTGTACAYAGTATTGTTGGGAGGAGTAAAGCACAAAAATGCAAATTTTGTACCTTTTTGTGGCCCCTGGGGGGCAAAGTTTGTAATAAATGAGTGAAATGCAGCCCCTGTCTCGTATTCCTCTGGGGTGTGGGAGGATGGCAGAAATCACCTTGGGATGGGGATTGACCCTGTTTTCCCAGTTTCTGGGGTTTTTTTGGGAGCAGCCCTGGGGAGGTCTCCTAGTTTCTCCAGGGGAAAAAGCGAAAGCTGAGCAGAAAAGTGAAACAAAGAGGGAAAACAGGCAGAGAGAGCAAGCAGGTGTGGGGGCAGGGGTGCAGAAAGGGCAAACTGAGGCAGGCGTGAGTATTCCTGCTGTTCCTGCCTTTTTTAGCGCTGCTGTAGGAGCCCCCCTGGCTAAATTTTGGGATGTGGGTGAAAGGTGCTGGTGTTGAAAAACAAGGCCATGACCTTGGCTCTGCTTCTTCCCCTCTCTCCCACTTGGAGTCCCCCCAAACCTGCTGTGCCTCCCCTGCTTTATCCCCGTCCTTGCCTCAGTTTTCCTTTGGAGCCAGAGTCATTCCGGCTCCTGGCCAAGGAGGCAAAGGGTCATTCCACTCTGGGCCAGGACTGGGCTGGGCCAAGAGGGCTGTGGGAAGAGAGGGGGGCACCGGCAACTCAGGGCACCCCAAAAATTAGGGAGAAGCTGCCAGTCCCCTGCTGAAGACCCTACAATAACCGCCTCCTCCACC